AAAAAAACTACAAAAAAACTACAAAAAAACAAGCAAACAAAAACAAACAAAACAAAACAAAAAACAGCGATAACGATAAAACATAGGAGATAAGTCGTTCCAAGATCCAAGAACGTCTGCAATAACTTCTGTTTCTTATTGTTTTTTTTAATAACGAAAAGGTTCTGAAAAGCCCTTATGGGGAAAGATAATAAAGCATGTATGTTATTGTTGAGATATTTAGTATTGCTTGTAACAGTCCATTTATAATACGTCGATAATTCGTGTCAAGGTGCATGTCTACTTTTTCTTTCGGCCTTGCAACCGCCAATCAACGACGTAGTCGTCATTCGGCGTTCTACCCTACAACTAGTATAGATGAATGCGTCTAGATGCTCTAATAGGGTGTGTTGAGATCTAAAGATCTGTACATCCCTGTATTATAGCCGTTTGCATTGCTACGCGGCCACCCCGGACCAAAAATCGCGACGTGCACTTTGCAATAGACTGCTGTCAATCAAACACATTGACGTCATTTACACGCGAGTGTGATTCAAAAGGCGCTAGAACTTGTCGAACTTGTCGTGTATTTAGGGTCTAAGACATTGTCTTTAAAAGGAAAGTTTTTACCTTTTTTGGTCTGATGAGTACCACAGGTAGCCCAAGCACCTGTTGGTAAGCTTGGGTGCACATGGCGTCATTGTTACCCCTGTCCTTAGTCACGTAGCATTGCCCTTTTCTTTCACACTTGCGCAATTTTTGAGCAATAAGCAAAATCATTAACGTATTTCCCATCCACGATTTTTGGATTCGTATACTAGATCTTGTCACGGTCCAAGTAAAACTAACCAATGTTATAATATAACAAATTTTCGAAAGACGATTTCCCATACTGTAGTGAGTCATTGGCCTATAGTGGAGGGTCTCGCAAGTATACTTTTATAATTGTCTAGACGTCTTTTTCTGTCTCATGTGCGGAAATGTTTATCAAGTGAATCGCAAGTTTTCTGGCTCACAGCACATGCTGTTGACCAGTGTTTGTCCACCATTTAGAGCAGATAATGAGATTCAAAGACTTTTATCAGCTGATTGAAACCCTTTATTGATTTCTGACTACCTTCCAAAGACTTTTCTTGTTGATGCTTTTGAATAAGGTCATATAGATTCTCCCATCATTATTTATAGTTATGATTTATGATTTATAAAGCCCTTTTTTCTATTTGGATATGTTCAAAGGTGCTTTACAATGAATTATAAATGAGAGCTCTTCAGTATGAATTGTAGACACTGAGGGTAGTCACTGCCAGGGTTTCTTTACATCCTCAGTGGTTCTTTTACGTCTCTCCAATATTGGTTAGTAATGATGAAGTGTGGAGAGACGGGACCGCCATTTAAAGTGTTCATCCGAGCAACTTGAAATTCTAACCATTTGCAGATGTAATTACAATAGCAGCACTTTCTCCTCAGTTATTTTAAGAGACTCGAACCACGACCTCCCGCACAACAGTCCGATGCTCAACCAATCGTGTGCAAACCGGGTGGCGGGTTGAGGGAAAAAATGGGTCGAGTCGGCATTGCAGTGCATTGTGGGATTGTTTTAGGGGACGAGATAGACGCCACCTTGGAAATATGTCCTTTAAACAGTCCCACAATGCACTGCAATGCCAACTGCGACCCAGGTTTTACCTCCCTATTAGCCTCACTTGACAATACTAAAAACGGCTGCGAGTGAAACTAGTATTTTGTGTGCGCTTTTAGGTCCAATATTGAAACTAGTGAACGATAAACCGCCTTACGTCATGTTTTAAATAAATATAGCAGAGCATAAATAAAGCACTACTGTCAGGAAATAACTCAAGGTAGATATTAATAGAACGTTATGATAAAATACTGAAACTTCCTGCTTCTAGATATATATAGACCTTTTCAAAGCGTAGAGCGCAAACAATATAACCGTGAAACTTTAGTAATACCAAATAGCACAACTTCATGTAAAATTCCATTGTTTTCTATCGTCTAATTAGCAATATTTTGTTCTATTTAGTAATAAGTGTTTCACGGATTAATTGTTTGCACTCTATCAAACTCGTTCTCTTCTTTCAAGACTAATTCAGTACTTTTCACAACTTTTTACTGACAAGAGCCAATCAACCTTTTTCTTTACTTCACCGTATTTTGCCATTTTTCAAAAGTCTGAAAAAGTTTCAAAACTTTTATACAATACTCGTATTTGTGCGTAGTTCAGTTCCTTAATAAGAATGGGCACGATGCTCTGCTAGTGGTTTTACTTTGCGTGTTTCCCTCCTATAGCTTGGTTCGCATCGTTGAGCAGCATGCGTAATACAAAAACACAGGAAGACGCTGTCATGGTTGTTGGTTCAAGGACAGGACAGACGGATTGGGTTTTAGATATGTGTAATTGTTTCAGTTCTTCGTAGATTTCTAATAGCGCAGTGCAACCGTGACGTTTACTTTCAGCAGATAATTTTGAGCCGATCGCAGTTGATCTTAGTTTACATGGGTTATTATTGTAACTTTAAGTAAAAATAATAAAATCGGTTCGTATAATCCTCGTAGCGGTTAAACAGAATGCAATGTTTGTCCGAATCTTTAAGCTATTTTTAGAATCAGTGCGCTGCGCTATTGAATTGATATAATTATGTTTGTTTCTAAATGGATGCTAAATAGTGTTCACTTATCTTTATAAATAAACGTCCTTTCAAACCAACGGTCTTTCTGGTTTGAATCAGCGGTACGATATGAATATGTTTACCACGTCCACCAACGGTCTTTCTTGTTTGAATCGGCTGTACGAGATAAATATTTACTGCTGTACTATCCCTGCCAAGCAGCGCCGGCGTCGCATCGTTACTGATTACTCTCCTTAATAAGTTAACCAAATTTACCTTCAGTACAGTGTAATCACTAACGAAGCGACGCCGGCGCTGCTTGGTACGGATAGTGCAGCGGTAAATGCACAGAGCGTACAGCTGATTCAAACCAGAAAGACCACTCCTTTTCTGTTGTATCTCTGAACGATAAACACTACGCAAGATTTCCGATTTAGATCCTCCAAGAATTCTGCTGTAAGTGAAAAGAGATTAAATTTAATTCTGAATTACATTTAGATATATGAAGAGACGTAAGAACACGAGAGAAGAATAGGAATCCCCCGACGCGAAGCGTAACAAGCGTAAAAAATTGGAATTTAGGGGGGGGGGGGATATTTTTACCAAAGAATTAGGAATAAAAAAATATATGTAACTTTTGCAGTAACATATGTCGTCTCTACATTTTGACCCAAAATCCTTTGCAGGATGATTTCGTTCCCAATATAGTATTACAGTTTTAACGAAAAGCCGGCCATATCTTGGACTATATTATTATGGGATATAGAGGGCCAACTATTGAAACATCTGTCGACTGCAAACCGCTATTAGGGTGTCTTTATATAACTTTACGGTTTTCAATGAGAAACACGTCTAAAAAGCAATAGTGTAAATTATTCAAATTATTTGAAAAGGAACCCCACCCAGGGTTACGTTTTTCTCTTTCACACCTACATGCCTTACCACTATATGCTTTATACGTTTTCTATGTTTGCCTCCACGGTATCATATAATTCAAGATGGCCGCCGTATCAGTATAAAGGTCCTTTTTTCAGAACTCAAGAACCAGAACCATGAACTTAAGTCATTGAAATCGTTTTAAAATTTCACTTAAGTTCTCCTCACTTAGACTGTTTGAATTCCCAGTCAGTTTTATTTCAGTTTTATAGCTTTCCAAGGATTTTTTTACCTGATTTTTCTAATTGACTTTCAGAGCACAACCTGGCGGAAATATGCAGACTTTCACCTCAAAGACGCTCACCAGTATTGTCAAGAAGGAACAGTGAAAGTAAGTGAAAGTAAATGTGATGTATGCATATCTAATAGTCCCCTTCACAGTTTCCTGCGCCATCTTGAAAGGTAACCGGCTAGTTTGTGCACCACGTGAACAGCGGTCAGCTTGCAATGATAGAGACATGATAATAATTGTCCAAGGTTTAAAAAAGGTTTCTATCATTGCAAGGTCACTGCCGTTCTCGCTTCGCTACACAAGCACGGTTACACTTCAAGATGGTGCAGAAAACTGTGAAGGGGAGTATTTAGTACACAAGTAGCCGTTTAAATGCATATCTAATATGAATAAAAAACCCTAAAAAATAGAGAGAATGACCTTTAGATTTTAATACCCTGAAACAACCTCAAGGCTGATCAAAGTCAGGGCATGGCTAACTCACAGATAGAACCCTGAACAACCTCTGGGCTGATCTAAGTCAGGGCGTGGCTAACTCACAGATAGAGCCCTGAAACAACCTTTGGGCTGATCTAAGTCAGGGCGAGGCTAACTCACAGATTGAACCCTGAAACAACCGCTGGGCT